GATGCTCAGGGGGAAACATGAGCCACAAAACAGTCTTGACAAGAAGCAGACTTATTCCACAGCAGCACACCCGCAGAGCAGGCAGGGTGAGGTACAGAAACCTTCAGTCTGTATTACGTTTGCATCTACCCCCTCTTCTGATCTTTAAGATGAAAAGAAGTGAAGTCAGTAAAATTTTCCATCACCGTTTTCCTAATTTTGACTGTACCTCTTGTAAGAGGGAAGCAGTTATGTCCAAGGTTTCCTTAACACAAACAAGTGAGCCACGTACCAAAGGGATTTGGCCAATACTACCTATTTCTGAGATGTCCTGAGAATCCAAAGCTCTTATATTCTTAAGAATTAAAAAGAGCTTCATGGTGCCAAAAGCTGATGCTTAAGAAATGGCTCAATAAATAAGACCACCCAGCCATGCCATGAAAACTTCTGATGGCAGTGAACATTCAGTAAATATTAACTCTATGCCAAGAATCAATTTAAAAACTAAACTTATCATGTCTGGCAACAATCCCATCTTAAAAAGGAGAGAAATCAGGCTGAAAAGAGTAAGCAAATTGCCTAAAATTATTGGTACTTAAGTGGCACAGTTAATATTAAACCTAGGTACTTTACTAAAGTAAAAAACATTTACTAAAAAATTAATAAGTCAATAATAAGAACATATAAACAGAAATGTCCACTGATGTTTTTAATAAAAAATTAACTGTAAAAGTACTATAAGAAAGCAGGGAGAAATCTTCCAGACATTGGTGTGGGTATGGATTATTCTAAATATCACATCTAAAGTATAGGCAATGAAGGCGAAACCAGTTGAATGAGATCACATCAAACTAAAATACCTTTGTACAACAAAGGAAATAGAATGAAAAGACAATTTATAAAACAAGAGAAAATATCTGCAAAACATATATCTGACAAGTGGTTAATATTCAGAATTTAGAAGGAGCTCAACTGAATAGCTAAAAACCGCAAATAATCCATTTAAAATGGACTAAAAAATTAAATATTGAAAGTGAAAACATTTGAAATATCATCATGTGAATTTCCCAAAGCAGTGTTCTCAGTAAAATACAATGAAAAAAGGTCAGGGATATAGCTCAGTGGTTCCACTGCCTGCCTCACAAGCACAAGGACCAGAGTTCGATCCCTGGTACAAAAAAGAAAAGAAAATACAATGAAAAGTGGAAAAAGGACCACACAGTTCAGAAATGTTCAATCAGAATGCTTAGTGCAGTACCATTTTTAAAAAGCAAGAGACCAGTGACAATGAAGACAAGGCAGTGGCATTTGGAGACTGAAAGCAATTCGATTTATTTAACTTTGAAGAACAAAAGCTTATTCTTCTAAGAAGAAATCAAAACACATTTTCTGTGGGGGGAAAAAAAAGAAACCATTTTAACTCCATTGCCAAAATAAATCAGTCAGAGTGTAAGTTACATTTAACCACAAGAAGAAAAAAAAAGACTCAGAGCCAAAGAAGTAAGGTGAGAATAAGGGGGAGGTGAGGACAAATAACACATTTTGTTTTTAAAACAGCAAAGGAAAGAGAGGGAGACAGAACTTCCCCATCTCCTTGACAAATTACTTAAATTATTCATCCCTCAGCATCCAAGGCAAATTGGCTCTCAGAACCCCCAAAGATATGAAAATCTGTGAAAGCTCAAGGCCATTACATAAAATGGCAGAGTATTTCTATAAAACCTACATATATCTATCTTCCCATGAACTTTAAGTCATTTCTAGATTACTCTAAATAGCAAAAGCAATATAAATACCATGTAAGCAGCTGTTATACTGTATTGTTTAGCAAATAATGAAAAGGACAAAAAAGTGCACATGTTCAGGACAGACACATTGTTAAAAATGTATTTTGAATTCACAGTTGTGTAACTTATGAATGCAGAGGACTGACTACACCACTTTTACTTTCTGCTAAAACAATGAAAGAAAGGAGGAAAAGCAAAAGGGACACAGGGAGGGAAGGAAAGAAACCATGAGTGGACCTGCATTTGCATTTAAATATGTGGACCTGCAGTAAAACAACTTAACTAAAATCCAAACTTAAAAATACCTTTCAAGAAAAAAATACAACTATCAAGACCATACTCAAATGTATAAAAGACACATACTACCCCTTTACTACTTTATCAGCTACATTCTAGGACAAATCCGATTCAGTCCACAATCACAGATTTTGGGCCAGACGGAAATATTTCACGCTGCCCCAGCTGAAAATTCAAGCCACATTAAATATCCCAGACATACTTTTTTTTTTTAGATAAACTCTTCCTTGTTTGGGGCATATATGTAAACTAGCAGGAAAAACTTAATGGACTACTTCTTTCTCTGAGTCCATGCCCTATGGGAAGAATCACCTGGAGTTACCTCAGGAGGTTCCCACCTGAGCTGGGACCTGCTTGTCCTTGACTTAAATGAATGAGTCCTATGATACTAGGCTGCCTGGCTTTGACTCTAAAATCATCACTTTATTGCTGATAACTTTAAATAAGATGCTTAAACTCTGTGCTTAAATCTACAAAATGAAGTACTAATTAGCACCCACCTTTTGCTGATGTATGATTAAATAAAAAGCTGTATTATAATTAATTTATTTCTTGGATCGTGGACATTCCTATAATTCTCTCTGCTTTTCCATAATAAAATTATTTATTTCTAATTTCAAAATTACAGCAAGCTGGAAGCTTTGAGAACATCCCTTTCCAGAACCAGAGTGTCCATTGCCAATACGGACAGCACAACAGAGTCTGAATACCCTCTACAGGTCATCACCTGTATCCCAGGCATAACACTGGCACCTGCCTTACACAAATGTACCTAATACCTTTATTTCACATTCTAGGAGAACAAGGGGTAAAGGCACCTAAGTAAAATTTCCAAATAGTGAAGCTCTCTAATCCTCTTTTCTATAATCCTGCTGAATGACAGTGTGCTTTGCAGACAACAGCAAATTGTAAACCAGTTACATGTGGTTGGGACTTGAGATGATTATATCAAATTCCTGTAGTCAGACAGAATTCAGACCAAAGAGCCAGGGAAGCAATCCTAATTCCTCACACCTTTCCCATTCTTTGCCAAGCTCTAACCAGGAAAACGTGAAAAAGGATCAATCACCTTGTAGTTCCTGCTGGATTGAACCAGGTTCTTACACAAGCAACCTGCTCCACCTCTCAACTCCCTGAGGAGATAATGAATCCATCCCACACGTTTGTTGTCACCCACACTTTCCTGGCAGCTAACCTGGTGGGCCTTTCTTACCTTAGACTGGAGAAGACACTGCTCTTCCCAGCCAAGCCCTCCCTGACTTTAACAGGGACACTTTTCTAATTTATCATGATCAGCCAGCAGTCCAATTCTAACATCTAAGGTACTGTTTTCTCTGCTTCATAAAACTTCCCATGGAAATAGAAATAATTTATATCCAATAGGGTACCTTCTGGCCATTTGCGGCTACTAAATACTTGGATATGACTAGTACTGAGTGAAATTTTTAATTAAATGTAAGTAGTCACAGATGAGAAGAGGCTACCATATTAAACCAAGACTTTTATATCACCAGGGCTACCACTTAATCAGCACTGCAGGTCGAAGGAAAGGCTGCTGTGTTCGATCTTGGAGTTAGAGGCTCTGGGTCAAATCCTGGCTCCTCTGTCCAGTTATATGATCTTCAATATGTACCTTACCCTTTCGATGTATCAGTCTCCTCTGTAAATAATGGATGATCACATCAACCCATTAGAAATGTTTATAATGGTGACATCAGAGATGTACACCAGCACAAAGTCTAGAAGACTAGAATACTAATTTAACAGGAGCTGCTTATATTGATCACTTCATCATCCTCTGTCTTTTCCTCTTGGATTTCCTTGCAAGGTAACCAGGAACTGGCTCAGAGCCCTAAGACACACTGGTCTACATTGCTTCTGCTCTTTACAGAAAGCCCCTATGTGCCTCCTCAGCTAGGAGAAAGGGCCACATCTCCTCAAAGTAGGCCTGTAAAAACTGGCACACACAGGATGTAGGAGACTTCAGGAGCAACTCCTTCCAGTTTGCTTCTAGAGCATCTTTAACCCCCATCAGTCTGGCCAATCATTACAGAAATTTTCACCAATGCACCACATATCTCCTCCCCCGAACAAAGGAATTAACACCGCAACCAGAGCACAGACACTGAGGGAGGATTCCCACTGCCAGCCCCTGAATCCCCATCACGCTACCAACATCTCATAGCCACCCTCAAGGTGGCATTCTTTGCATTTTCTAGGGAGGCATAACAAGCTGGCATATCTTGCCCAAGTCCCCAGCAAAATGATATTAAACCTGCCACATTGACTAGAGGGCTCAGGTTCAACTTTTCTCATGCCTTCAATAGCTCAGGCTATTTTCTCATGCCTTCAAGGCCAGGCCTGACCGTCCCTCCCCCCGAATCTTTTCTACCTTTGTTCAAATAAACTCCTCTGTCATTTTTAGGACCAAATAGTGCCCCCTGGAACTTTGAGAACAGGTCTACTCACTTGCACTTTTACATAGACTAAGCATAAAAAGAATCAATGCTACTCGATCTGAAACAGAAAGGAATGAGTAAGATGAAAGCTAAACCAGTATCAAGTTTATCATAAGTATTTTGCATCTGTTTGTTAAAGCAGTATATTCAAAATTAAATTTCCCTAACCAAGAACCATTTGTTTTGTTTTTAAGTGCTCCAAAATATTTGGTGCAAAGAGTAATATTCCTACAAAAGGTATCTCAGGGTAGTGTTCCTATTGAGGATATTTTCTTTGATGTCACACATCAAAGAAAACTGGTTTCCAAACCAAAGAAAAAAGCATTGGTTCACTTGCTCCAGTCTTTCAAATCACTCTTTACCTACAATAATGACAAGGATACTTCTTATTCAGCCTGAAAGGTTTTTTTATTGAAAATTAGTAAGCTGCCAACATTTATTAATCTGCGATTTCACTTTTTAAGTATGGGTTTTTACCTTTTTTTTTTTTTTTTATAAGAAGACACTTCCTGCCTTGTGGTTTCTAGCTCAGTCCAGTCCCCAGCATTCCATGCTGCTGTACCATTTGTGCCCTCCAGGCTCAAGATCATGCAAGCCAAACCCTGAAGGCAGAATCTGTTGTCTCTGTGGGAGAGCTAACGTGCAGCCACTCAGTCCCCTCAGCCTCCCAGAAAAGCTCTCCCATTCCCTTCCCAACGTCATTCCCCTGTGGCACAGACTGGCACACCCTCCCCACCACGCACCACCACACTCCACAGCTGCCAAAGCTCCAGCTCACCTGCTACTCCGTACCACTTCGATCTCTCTTCACAGGTGTCACAGGCACCTCCCCATTGACACTTTCATTCCCGCTAACAGACATCAAGCTTCTCCGATCCTTCTGGTTTGGCTTGTGTTCCACTTTTGTGACTCTAAATCTGAGGAAGCAAAGAGGTGATGTGATGGCTTTGCTTTTTCACTAAAGAACAACTGAGTGCATTAAAAAGTATTTATCTATAGGACCCCTAACAAACCCAGCCAAAAGTTAAGACAGGAATGGAAAACATATTCAACAAAAGTGACATTTCTGACCAGCGATTCCCCTGTGCCCTGCCTATCCGCCCAGCTGTTGGGACTCAGCTACATCACAGACTACACTGGTATTTTGCAGAGTATGAAAGTGCATTAGAAAATACAGGCATTCAAATATTAAATAGCCTTGGCACTGTGGTTTCTAACAATGGCATGGGTTTTAACAAACGTTTCTTTAACCATAGAAGCCCACAGAAAAAGATAACCAGTTAATAAAATAGACAGCCATAAGCCAAATAGGAACTAGGTAGCAACCTCACAAAATTCAATCCTATCAGATCATTTAACTTGGTGCAAACATGCATGCACACACACGCACACACACACCAACACACAGAAATGCGCTCTTTCAGTACTAGCTGGTGGTAGGGGAAGGGGTTTCTGTTTTATAAAGATAAACTTTTCATTAAAGATTAAGGAAAAAATTAAAGAAGTGAAGGAAGAGATTTTCATTAAAAGTTGAGTAATTTCCTAGAATATTATCCCTTTAGTCTTTCAATAGTATGTCTTTGCAGTTCTGGTATTAATTTCCTTTCAAATGACATAAAATAAAATTATCCTTCTTTGTTCCAAATGAGATCACCAACTGTGAGGAGGAGGAAGCAAACAAGCAGGGGAAAAGTCGGATACACAGACCTACTGTCCAACTAGAAGACTCTTGAGCAACACATGCTGAAAAACAGCCTAAAATCATTAAATGCTCACAGGGCCCAATATCCCAGAAAGAGAGCTGGATTTGGGGCATTTGAGAAGCCATGTTGAATCTAGGTTGAAAATTTCAGCAGATTTTTTTAAAGCAAACAAAATGTGCTTTGTCCAAACAGCTACAGGTTCTCATTCATCTGTATTCATAAATTCCCAGGACTGCGCCTCTTACTAAAACACTGTGGTCATGAGTTGTCCCATTTAGCTGCAGGTGGCAAACAGCCCTCAGTTTTCTTGTGGCTTATGCAACAAAATGATGAAACCCAAATAAATTAAAATAAGGATAATAACAAAAATGGCTGATATTTCCTAGGTGCGTAAGTGTCCCAAGGAGTTCTCAAACCTGTACCTGAGTCATTTCATTGAGTCTTCACAGCAATCCTATGAGGTGAATGGACTGTCATCCTCACCTTCGGCAGGAAGAAACTAAGGCCCAGAGCCTCAGTTACATTTGTAAGCAGTGATGGGAGGATTCAAAAGAGGTGACTGCAATGAGTCAGGTTCCTCTGGACAGAAGTTTTTCCAAGAAAAAGAAGGTGCTTTGGTAACAGCTTTTTCTCAGTGCTCACCCTGTTACCAGCACAGGAGATCCAACTGCCTCTCCAAACATGGCCTTACAATGAGCTTCCTGCAAGAGCCTCAGAACTCAAATATAGGAACTGCAAAAATGCTTCATGTCAGGTTTATATGAGCCTTGAATAGCAGGGTCTTCTTTCACAAGGAAATAGTACTTTAGGACTGAGATGCCCAGGACACGATGGAGGTAAACTGAAGCAAGTCGTCAGAACAGTTTGCAAGGGACCTGATGTGGCAGAGATTGTAGAGTGCCAGATTTCCTCTTGTCTCTTCTGCCCGGCACATGACAACATGGCTGCCTATCAGTCAGGTGTGACCAAGTGCTTCATTCTAAGAGTGGATTATGAGCCACAGTAGTATGAGCCACTCCCTGGACTATCTCGCTAGAAACCCTTGATACATAATTCTCACAAACTCCCTTCTACTCGCAAACCGGGCACAGCCATGGGTCGAAGGGGCCTGGGACTGGAAGAAGGTGATGAGCCAGCCACACACTGCTCCTTGCTTTCATATCCATAAGTGAAACAGTCTACATTGTATGTAGTTGTGGTTCTCAGTTCTGCTACAGGTAATCAATCATTTCCCTTAATTAATACATCTCCTGACCTAGCAATAGCTGCCTTTTAGGAGACTCCTGTTAACAAAAATATCCAGATCAGAAAACATCCAAAAGCCTACAGGTCTAACCTGAGCCAGGCTTAGGAGCATATACTCCAAATTTAACACATAGCAACACATGCAAACCAGGAGAATCTGAAAGGCCCTACCTGCCCACAGAGAGGACTGTGACTTCCCCTTGGCGTCGTGGCCGAGCCTCTCTGGACTTGCTGGTGGGTTTTATGAAGTGCCATCGCTTGTGCCTGCACCTCTGACACACATCTCGTTCCACAGCTCCGCCCACAGTGTGCAGATGGTGGCCACAGATATGCTTCCCTGGTGTGGCTCCTGGTGACAAGGGCCCAGGACTCACAGGGCTCCCAGGGGTGGTAGGAGTCAAGGGGCTATGGTGGGAAGAAGAGGAAAGGAAAAGTCAGCACTGGTTTCATGAAAGAAATTGCTGCCAAACATCTCTCCCTGTAATATAAGAAGCAGGATTAAAATTGGAAAAAAATTGTACACATGGTCTCTGTAGACTGATCTTAAACAAAGGCACTCAGCTCTCAGGATCTCTCAGGGACAGCTCGTTTCAAACAATCATAATGTAATTTACCACTTCTCAAATTCAATTAATTGGCTAGAAATAAACCACCACTTCTAATGATGATGCAGCGTTTGACTTTGGAGTATGAGTTTTCTTTCCAAAGCATGTATCTTCCTTCTCATGCAGTCATACTAGCTGCTCACACACACAGCCAAGTGTCTGCCTAGAGCTCTCAGCAGCATGATCCTCCAAACATTTCTGGGAGACAGAAAACCTTAAATTCCAATGGAATTATCAGATGCTTTATAATAAGAATATTAAATCCAATCTGACCTTTGCATCAAAGGAAGAAAGCTTCAGGTCAAGTATCAAAAGTGATGCTCAAAACAGACGTTGACAGTGTTGATAGATAACAGTAATAAGAAAATAACACTTAGCATTCCAAGAACTTTGTTAATTCAATTAATCTTTATAAAACCTTATGATGCAAGCATTAACAATTTCCTTACTTCAAGAAGGAAGATGGTTTGGGTGTGGTGTCATATGCCTATAACCCCAGCACCCATAGGCTGAGACAAGAGTATTGTGACAAGTTTGAGGCCAGCCTGTGCTACCTAGTGAGTTCAGGAGATAGTTTCCTATCTCAAAAGGAAAAAATAAAGGAGGACTGGTGGGAAATATAGCTCAGTGGTAAAGGGCTAGCTTACAATGTGTGAAGCCCTGGCTTTGATACTCAGAACCACAAATGGTAGATATAAAAATGACAGCACTGAAGCTTAGAGAAGCTAAGTAACTTGCAAAGAAGTGTGGATCAGAGATCCAAACCTAGAAGGTTGCATTGCTAGAACCACAGTGTTACTGATCACAGAACACGATGCTTCAGAAACAATGGAGACCACTTCTGATCATCTGTAAGAAATCTGGCCAGATTAGCCAGAATATAACAGGCAGACATACATGGCCAGATTTGGCTCCTTTCAAAAGGCATGTATCCAGACTCTGGCCACTACAAGAGGAAGGATTAGAACAGGTCAGGGCAAGACTGAGCAGGAAACAGCTTGTGGTGCATCTCAGAGCCTGGCACCTGAGACATGGACAGAGCCCAAAAGGGCCTCTTGGAAGACTAGCGATGGCACAGACCAGCATTGGGTTGCTGACACCTGCCTAACCCACTCATGTTTTAAAATGGTACAGGCCAGGAGTAGGGGATGAGGATTCACATTTAGTAAATCAAGAAACAGTGTGAACTTGTCGCCATATGTTGGAAAGTTACATTCATGTTTTCAACTATAGTCATTCCCCGAGCATTTATCAAGTACCAGCTCTGTATAAAGCCTGATGACATCTCCTACAGAATGCCTAAAGATGATGGAGACAAAGACACCAGGAACTGATACCATCTTCATCCTAGCTGTCTGCAGTCAGGGCTGGAGTGTGGGGGCAGTCTGTGTCCACCTGAGAGTTACATCATGGGAACTTCCCAAGCTCACCCCTGTGTGCTCAAAGAATATCTCACACCTCATTAATGTTCGACCTGTGCTGTGTGCAGGCCCATCCACAAAGCAGCAAAAGATCCAACCTCTCGCCGTGGCTCTCAGGCCCAGTTGGCCTTCTTGGCCTTCATGCTGCTGCCATTGCACACTCTCTGGCCACCCCAAGTCAACCACTGCCCTATATTTTTGTGCTCCAACCCCTTTTGTCCTGGGCTTTCTTCTTTCTATAAGCAGCTCTGTCTCTGAAACAGCTGATTCTAATGATGCCGCTTCCCTAAGCCACTGTGACTTCAGCCGGCCCCACAGAGTTCCAAGATTGCCCAACAGTGCTTCTCCTGCAGCAATTTCGGGCTCCATCTCCCATAATGCCTCACAGGCCCACCTGTGTGCCCACACTGAGCTCCTCCAGGGCAAAAGGCTGTGAATGCCATGTTTAGCACAGTATCCAGCCCACAGCAGGCACTCGATACATGCTCCTTATTGGAAAAATGATAAGTATGCATTAATCCTTAATTATGAAAGAAATGGTGCTCGGTGACCATAACCTAGAATCAGAAATATAAAAGTACAGTGTACCGGGTATGCCCACACCATCTGTTCAAAGAAGACTATTTCAGTGTCAACACAACACTCAGTTATCTCCATTTTACAGATGATGGACTGGAGCTCAGTGTGGTCAGCGAACTCACCCAAGAACAGGCAGTCAGTAAGTGGTACAGGGAAGCTTGGACCAAAAGCTCCCAGCACCAAAGCTGTGTTCCTGCTCTTGGCCTCTATGCCATCATTCCTCGGGCCTGGATCTCTCCACAGCAGCTCCTGACCAGGATAGAGTCCCCTCAGGAACACTGACAATGTGGAGACATTTGGGCTTGTTGCACCTAGTGGGGGCAAAGTGGGGTGGTCTGATATCTGCTGAGCTAAAGCCAGGAACATCATCAGAGACCCCCACAGTACACAGACAACACCTGTAGCAAAGGGGTACCTGGCCCCCAACATCCACAGAGCCAAAGTTGAGAATTCTGCTCTTATAGAACAGTATTTCAAATGTCACAGCTGAACAAATAAAAAATGCCCCACTAAATGGAAGGAGGAGGAGTACTCACCTTTCAGCATCAACCAGACTGTTGTCTGCTACCATCGCCTTCAAAACATCCACATTTGCTAAGGAGTAAAAAGGAAATTAAAGAATAGATTAAATTAGGCTCCAAATGTTCTTTTAAAAAAAAAAACTCCAAATATGTGGGAGAGGAGGAAGCAAACTGAATCCCAGCTTCTTGAGACACCCACACCCCTTCCCTTCAGCTCCTATGAAGTGGCCCAGCTCTCAAGCACATAAAGCCTCTGGGAATGCTCGGTTTCTCCAGGCTATTTAACAGGCAAGGCCAACTACTATTACTGACTCCTAACCTTTTCCATTGATTTTTAAAGCATTGTTCCCATGACTAACCACAACAAATTCTAAAGACAGGAAAGAATTTCTTTAAAAATCACTATTTACCACGTTAGACACCACGACCAGCACCGAACGGTCATTCAAATGACATCTCCAGAAGAGGACAATTGAGTCCAGCTCCAACCCTGCTGTGTGGGAGTTCAGGGTCAGGGGTTTACACACAGTGCTTCTCAACCTACTTTTCTAGCCCCACCCAGGAGCCTTTTTCCACATTTTCCCCTTATCAGCCTCCTGTGAAAATGAAATACTAAAGATACAGTACCTGTCTTTTTCTGTTGTTTGTACATATCTGTGTTGTAAGAGACTAAGAATTTTCTGTCTCCCCCAGGATCCAATTTGCATCTTCCTGAGGGACACACCCTTGGGAGTGTATGAATCTTTTTTTTTTTTTTAAGAAATATTTGCTAGGCATAATGGCACACACCCATAATCACAGCACTTTGGAGGCTGAAGCAAAGGATTGCAAGTTCCAGTCTTGTGTAGTCAACTAAGCAACTTAGACCTTCTCTCAAAATTGTGAAAAAATTTAAAAGGGATGGGGACCTAGGTCAGTGAGAAGGCCCTCAGCACTGCATAAAGAAAGAAAGAAGGGATGGAAGGAAGGATGGAAGGACAGAGGGAGAGAGGGAGGGAGGGAGGAAGGGAGACAAAGAGGGAGGGAGAGAGAGGGAGGAAGGGAAGGAAGGAAGAAGAGATTAACACAACATACCATTCTTGGCTAAAAGAAACATTTTCTTTGACCTTCATAAGTTTCCATGAGGATGTCAAAATTCATTTTCAAACACAAGTTTTTATTTTAAACAAGGCTCTTGTCATTTCAAAGTACCAACAATGGACCCATAGTATCTCTCCCCATATACAAAGACAATTCAATCATTTTCCCTTTTGATTAATAAAGAGGATCCAGGAAAATAATTTTCTTTCAGTAATGGGGTTGGATATTGCTGTAGTTTGGAAGGGGTTCATCTCTCCCAAAGATTCACGTGTCGGAAGACTGTCCTGAGTGTGGCGATGTGGGAGGGGGTGGGACCTTTACTAGGTGGGTGGGGCCTGGTGGAAAGTGGTTAGGTCACTGGTAGTGCTGCCCTCAGAAGGGATTATTACAGTTCTCAGCTGGGTGTGGTGGCATCCACCTGCACTCCCAGCTCTTGGGAGGCTGTGGCAGGAGGATTACTGCAAGTTCAAGGCCAGCCTGGGCCACACAGTGAGCTCAAGGCCAGCCTGAACTACATAACAAGACCCTGACTCAACAAAAGCAAAAGCAAAAATGAATTGATATACTTCTCATGGTACCCTGATTGGTTCTCAAAAGAACACTGTTACAAAAGAGGGCTGGAGATGTAGCTCAGAGATAGATAATCTGCTTAACATGCGGAGGCTCTTGGGGCAAACCCCAGCACCAAAATATAAAAGCAGAAGCCCTACTCATGACTGGCTCTCTGACTTCCCATCTCATTGCGACCTTTCCCTCTGGCACACTTACCCCATGATGATACCCACTGTTATGCCACCCAGCCACACTGGGCCATGAGCAGAGCCAAATCAATGAAGCTGCCTGACTTCAGGCCTATAGCCTCTAATACTGAACTAAATCAACTTCTCTCTGTGAAATTCCTAGCCTCAGGTATTTTAATATAGTAACAGAAAAAGGACTAATACAGATACACAATCTCATGTACAAATGCATATCTTATTGGATACAAATATACAATTTGTCAGTTTACACTTACTAAATGCCATAATTTACCAAACTCCAAAGTATAAACAGAGAAAAAGAAAAACAACAAAGGGTATGAAAACAAAGATAGCAATACTAGCACTTAAAATAATGAGTTTTTTAAAACTAAAAAGTTTAAACAGTTGCCCAAGAAAATTAATCACCCATAAAATGATGAATGCCTTTAAAATGAAAGACCAAATTATAAAGTGATACCGGAAGATAAAATATATTACAGTCACTACTCAAGCTTGTTTCTTGTGTACTTGTATTTCTCACGATTTCATGAATTCCTGTGACTCATCCCTATATCTCAGAAATAATTACCCAACAGCCCCTTTGTGCTGAGTGAAGTTTCTAAGAGTGAACTCTAGTTTCTGTGCAAACATCATTCACACCCACTCTGTCTGAGCAGGGGGAGCACGTGGGACTGACACACACGTCCACACCTACACACGTGTGCACAAACATGCACACCCCACCTCTAGGCTAACTTTCAAGTCTGCACCTGGGAGTAAACTTTGGTCATGTGTCCCTTGGGAACATTTCTGTCTTCTTGTAATGAGAAAACTCCTCAAACACCACTGGCAGGACTTGAACACATGCTTTAATTTCGTTGTGGAATTATAATAAAAGGACAGCAATTTCTCTTGAATAAAGAGTTGTCCATGGTATTCACAGAGGACCTCCCAAAGATAACAAAAGCACAAGTCCTTTATGTAAGTGGCATTTGCATATAACCCATGTACATCCTTCTGCACACTTTAAATCATCTCTAGGTTACTTATCATACCAAATGTAATGTAAATGTTATATAAATAGCAATTACACTGGGTTGACTAGGGAAAAATGACAAGAAAGAAGTATGCACCTGTTCAATAAAGACACAGATTTTTTGAACATTTTCAATTTTTGGTTGAATTCCTGGATACAGAGGGCCAGCTGTCTCCTCCTTGCATATTGCTCATAATTCCAACCAGCCAAGAGAGAGTTTCCGGACACACGCCAACATTCTGTCAACTCTACTTCCTTCCATAAGTACCTCACAAATGGGAGGAACCAGTTAGAGGGAAAAAGAATTGAAGAAATTTTCTAGTTCACATTTTTTTCCAGAATATGCTTCCTCTCTTTTCCCCCGAATTTTTTCTTGATAACAGGCACAAAAGTGAAAGTTATGCAAGAAGAAAATGCCCTGCTGTGTCTCCTACTACTATTTCCTCAAACTTTTCCTTATACAATGCACAAATGTCCTAAGCAGTAACTAATAACACCATCACCAAAATTTATATGCCAGCTAAAAGCTTTACAGACCTTACCATACTGGACTCTTCCAACAACCCTAACCATAGGAGGAATTATCACTCCCATTTTACAGATAAAGAAACTGAGGCTTAAAGACAGTAAATGACCAGCCAGAGTTACACAAGTGGAGAGTGACAGAGTTGGCCGCAATATCTGATGTGTGAGAGGAGAGCAGATACTTTAAACCCTGCCACTCTCCTGCTGCTCCTTCAGTATGCAGGTACCCACCCACCGACACAGGCTGAGTACAGTTAACAGAGCAGGGGTGCACAATCCTCACAGCACCTTTCAGAGCCCGCTCCATAATCAAATTTGTTGTAAAGGCGTCCTTTCTACAATGGTATAAATGGTGTCACGGTAAAAACTTCACAAAGGGATCTCTGGCTTGGAGGGACTAATCAAGGATCTTGAGGAGTAACCGCAGCTCTCTCCATTTGTACTGTTGGAGACAGTTTAAGGGCCCACTGCAGAAACTCAGCTACAGAGTCCCTAGGGTTTTCCAAACTTCCATATAATGCAAGAAAACTCTGACCACCCAAAAGCTGGTCAGTTTGGCTCTATGTCACAGGTTAAAAGACAGAACTGGCATGAATCCAGCCCTTAGTGTAGGGAGGAAGAGTCAGCATGCAGTTGTGTCCGAGAACTTCTGAAACCGCAGAACTTCCTGAGATGGGAATGTCTGTTATTCATAATGAGCCATGAGATCCCGAGTCTACTGGGTTGGACGAGGGTGGGGCCGGTCATCAGAAAGGCTGAGGGATTAGAGTTGGAACTTCCTGGCTGCTGGACCCACCGAGGTGCTGGGAGGGTGGTGCACCAGGGCATGGACAGAGGGATGTAAGCTGTATCTCCACCCCACACCCCAATACTTTGTCCTGTGCATTTCTTCATCTGGTGGTTCCTGAGTTACACTCTTCATAACAAACCAACAAATGTTAAGGGCCAGGGATTTAGCTCAGTAGTTCTGCCACCTGCTTTACAAGCACAAGTTCCTGAGTTCGATCCCCAGTACCAAAAACAAAACAAAAAAATATTAATAAAATGTTTCCCTGAGTTCTAGAAAACATTCTAGCAAACTACCAAACCCAAGGAGAAGGCTGTGGAAATTGCATGATTGATAGCTTTTGGGTCACAAGTACCAGAGGCCTGGACTGGTGACTGGCATCTGAAGCAGGGACAGTGTTTGGGACTGAGCCCCTAACTGAGGGGTCACATGCTATCTCCGAGGCACACGCAGAGATGAGTTAAATTATAGGACATGCAGCTGGTGTTTGGAGAGCTGGAGAAATGCTTAGTGGGAAAAAGTCCACATATCTTGTATCAAAAGGGAGATGTAAAGTGTAGGGAAACAATGTGTGTTTGCCCAGCAGGTCAGCTACTAGATCCAAACTCCAACACATAGTTGCCTAAGCTAAAATTGATTTCCAAAATTAAAGATACTGGGGCCAGGGATTTAGCTCAGCAGTTCAGTGGCCTGCCTCGCAAGTGCAAGGACCCGAGTTCAATCTCCGGTACCAAAAAAAAAACAAAAAAAACCAAAAATCCCAAAGACAAAACCAAAATTAAAGACATGTGTTTGAACTATAAAGAGAAGGGAGGAGGGGAAACAAAAAGAATTAAGAAGTGTTATGCACATGTACCAACTTTCCATGATTAATCATTATGTACTGCAAACATGTACTAATAAAAATTTTTAAAAACAGATAAAAAGCAATACCACCATGAGTACAGTTTGGCTACCTGATTTATATAGACTGTAGAAATTAAAATCTGAAAATTAAAAGAAAGGAGAGGTAGGCTGGGCATGGTGGTACATGCCTGTAATCCCAGCACTCGGGAGGCTGAGGCAGGAGGATCTCTGTGAGTTCAAGACTAGCCTGGGCTACACAGTGAGTTCCAGGTCAGTCTCAACTACATAGTGGAACCCTGTCTCAAAAAAACAATAAAAACAAAAAAACAAAAAAGAAAGGAGAGGCAACTCTGTGCTCTGTGGCTTAAAGGGACCCAGTATCTAGAAGTGGGTGGGAAGAGATAGGCTGTTCATTACCTACGTGAATTTCACCCTTGGAACCACCCTCTCTTCTGTAAGGTGGGCATAACAATATCAACTCCAGTGATGTTTTCAGGATTTGAAGACATTACACACATAAAGCACACACATAAAACATCGAGATCTAAGTCCAATACATACAAAGCACACTCTAAAAACACCACTGGAAATTATGCTGAAACATGTGCAACTGCTGTTCTCCCAAGTGAAAAGGTCAGGGAAGAGTAGAACACACTGACAAATGGTCCGGGCAAGATAGGGGTGGGGAATCTGCAGGCAGAGGGGTGTGGGCAGAAGAGCAGGGATTTACTGATGAATATATAGGGACTTCAGCTCTTAGACAAATGGCTGTGCTCTATCAGTGCATGCTACATAAGTCACCCAGTGCCAATTATAACAAGGACAGCCCAGGGAAAACATTTTCTTTTAAACTGGCACAAGAACTCAATGTATAGGAATCCACAGCTATTGAGTGTATGACAAGGAGAAACTACTCAAACTACTCAGGAGATAGAATCTGCTATGGTGGGTGGGTCCCCAGAATTCATGCATCAGAACTTAGTCTCCAAAGTCACAGGCATATGGTATCTGAAGGCTGCGCCTTAGGATATGACCGGGGCATGAGGGCTCTGCCCAAAGAGTAGATTCATGCACTCACGGACTAATGGGTTACTGAGGGAGTGATTTTGGCACAAAGCAAGCTCCCTCAGGTACAACTGCTCCGACTGCCATGTGATGATACAGCAAGAAGGCCCTGAGCAGATGCAGGATAGAGGCCAGGCTCGTACACACGCCAGCCTCCAGACCCACAGGCAGCCCGAACCTCTGTTCTTCCCAAGGAGCACGAGGGGTGTTTAGTGACAGCAACAGAAAACAGGGTGGGATGCTCTTGAGATAATAACAGTGGTCAGAACTATGACCATCAGTCACAATTAAATGAAGTTTCCACTGCAGAAGATGAAGGGTAACAATACATTTCACAGGGGAAAGACACGTACTCCAAGGGGTAAGCTGATTAAAATGTTTCCCTACTTAGGAACAGATAACAGAGAAACAGAATAGACAAATCTAGACACAGAGAGCAGAGGTGTGGCTGTCAGAGGCTGGGGGAGGAGGGACAGGGAGTGACTGCTTCGTGTGCACAGTTAGTTTGTGATGATAAACAGTTCTGGAACCACCAGTGGTACCATAACATTGTGGATGAACTCAGTGCCACTGAATTCCACACTTTAAAATGGTTACAGTAGCAAATTTTATGTGTATTTTACCATAGTTTTTCAAGTACAAAAAAATAACAGATAATATTTGAGTGCTTATTATTATACTGAGCATTTCATGTGCCATTTCGCAACAGTGCTGTGAGGTACATATTATGACTCCCATTTTGTAGGAGGAAGCTGAGGCTTCACAGAGTAATGAGACTTTCCCAACTGTACACAACTCGGAATCAGGGAGACCATGACTGGAACAGGAGCCATCAGCCCCAGGCTGGCTCTCCTCAACACGCAGGTCACAGGCACTCAGAAACTCACTAATGTGAATTCCCCCGTGCCCGGATAATGTGGAAGCCTGGGAATTAGGGAGCTTAGGTAAATCAAGGCGAGCCCATTCCAATTCTGATTCTTCAAAGCAGGTTTTTGATAGAACAAGAATACTAAATTGCGCTGAACACAAAAATATCCATACCTTCATTTTTCATGATGTAATGGACAATCTGCCCAACCGTGTCGCTATTTTCATTTATGCTGTCATTCAGCTCTGAAAGAGAAAAGAGGATGGGAGTCCGTGTCAAACTTGGCCACTCACAGGCGGAAAGTCGATTAGACACTCAGTGTCAGAGCCCAAGACCTCACGGAACAGCTGCCCAAAAGCTCAGGTGGTCATGTGTGATGCAGAGATATTAGCTTTCTTCCTTCAGACCCACACTTTCCAGCATCACACGTTGTGACTTTACTGACATAACTAACTTAAAAAGAAAGTATCAGAGTTGTCTATCCATCTCTTCTCATGGTCAAATATCCACTCACTTTCTAAACAACAGTATAGAAATGCATTCCTATACTCTGGACCGCTATTACTTTTCTCATCATTTACCTAAACCCTTAGAGGAAAGAAGAAAGCTGATAAAAGAAACAAATTTCCTTAGCTTTTATATCCAGCTTACTGTATAAATTTGAGAGTACTGATTTATTTTTTAAGTTAGATATTCATTCTTATTTATAGAACTCTCATCCTTTTCAATATACTTCCCAATTATCTAAATTTTGACCCTGTTACCTGCCCATAAACTTAGTTTACTTTCGGGGACTCTGCACCAGCAATATAATGTGATGGTCTCTGAAAAACTATCAAGGCTCCAGTCAGAAACCACATAATTTGTTTCAATTACCAGGAAGGAAGAGAGAGGGTGGAATTCTCTATCCAGGTTCATCAGAACAGCCAAGGTGTATGGGGCCACCCATTTACCTGGAAAAGAGTCTTCTCCAACATGAGTGCACATGTTTAGAGGGCCAGCATGGAACCTGCTGGTAACCCTAACCTACAGGGATCTATGGAGGAGAAGAGGGGCAGGCCCGACTTTCCACTTTGGATTGGTCATAAGCTGACACATGACTCATCCTGCCATCGTGCTCTGCCTCAGCCTCAAAGGTCAGTGGGGGTGGAAAAGACAAACGGTCCAGCAAGCTGGCAAGTAGTCAGGTCCCTCCCCTTTGCCATCCTGTGGTTTTGCCCGATGGGGGACCCACTCCAAATGTCACCTCTCTGCAAAGACTGCCTGTATGGGGCTTTATGGGATGTGGAGAGTTATTCACTAATACTCCGGGCCCAAGTCAGAAAACCTTCCAAAAAAGGAAAGACTGGAAAGAAATGACAGTAAAATAGGATTCATGGCTCAGACTTAAAACTCCAGGTGACAAGGAAAGGAGAGTATATCATGAAGTTCATACTAAGGCACTGGTTCCTGCCATACTTTCCTGCACTGTTCCACAATCATTTACTTTGTAAACATACATGTCAATCATGTAGACTCAAGACAGAACAAAAATGTAATATTACAGAATGCAAAGTAATACAAAAATGATGAGACTTGTTTAGTTTTCCTACCCTTCTTATTAGAATCTGATTCAACTGTAATAGCAGATTAATGTTTACTGAGAGACCGTATGTGCCAACCACTAATGAATCTTTCCTCTAAACTGCTACAAAATGGAGATTATTATCCTCATCTGCATTAAGTTAAAATGCCAATTACATGAATTAGAAATAAATTTCAGCTAAATCATACACAACAGGGATTCAGAGCACTTGCCCAAGGCCTCAGGACCAATGCAGGTATTTACCTATGTGGTAGCCAGTTAATAAAAGCAATGTTTCAAACTCTAGGTGTGATTCTTGGGAAAGGTACACAGAGAGCTGCTGTTCACATGGCTCACTGTGCCTCACAGAGATAGGAAGCATACAGGTATGGCTTCTTATTTAAAATTGTCTTCCTACCCCACCCTGTCAATAAAAAGAATCCAAGTTATTTACCTATCTTTTCAACCTTTTCCTGTTCAACATCTTGCTCAGCCTCTGTGGTGCAACGATAGCCTTTCTTCTTAAGCAGGTGGCAGATAAGGACGCCAAAGAGACCCATGATGAAGAACACAGGGACGAGCGCATAAGCAATGTACTCTGGGTGTCCATTCCCAGAACTGTTTGCAGGCGATGGGGTCGTCTCTGTCCTGGAGGGCAGCATGCGGCTGCCACCACTGTCTACAGGAAGGAATAGACATGGCGGTGTTAGATGTCTTTGAGGAACAAAAACCCCGAGGATCTTCAAGAAGTGTTCACAGTAAATCAGTGCCTGCACAAGCTGAAATATCACATGGTTCTTTTATATGAGAAACCCAAATTATAAATGAAGAGAAAAAAATAAAAAATAGAAAGACAGATCTTTCTTAAAAGGGAAGAGGACCAAGAGATGCAGGGAAGCGGGAGAAGAGGGAAGGAAAGGGGATTTTGAAAAAGGCATTAAGATTTGTTATACACATGAGCCAACTCCACACAAAGAACGTAAGCACTAAGATAGAGAGAGAGAGAGAGAGAGAGAGAGAGAGACAGATAAAGTGTCTGTCTGCTCCCCAAACCTCAGGCCATGCAGAGAATGTGGGACAGCCCAGCACAAAGGGCGAGAGCCCAGGGTAGGGGTAAAACAGACAAAGTTCCCACCCCTGCCATTCACACATTTGGTCCCACCCTAGGCCACTTTTCATTTCTTAAATCTCTTGAAGAGAACTATTACATCTTCATCTCTTGAGAAGCCCTACAGAGTATGCAATGAAGGCACAAGGTTTTGGTGATGTATTCAATATGGAATACGCACATAAACATTAAGAGGTATTATAACAGTACTCAGTGGTGAAAAGCATGGATTCAGGAGCCCAGAGTTGGGTACCCAGCTCTACTATTTAGCAGATGAGTGACAATGAACAATGACTTAACATCCTAACACCTTGGTTTCTTTCTCTTTTTTGGTACTGGGGATTGAACTCAGGACCTTGTGCTTGTGAGGCAGGCACAGTGCCACTGAGCTACATCCCCAGCCCAAAACCTTAGTTTCTTACACTAACAGTACCTGCCCACTCCTGCAAGGTCAATGTGAAGATGAAATAAATAACTACATGCAAAATATTTAGAACATATCAATATAGACAGAACATGGCTATGTCACAGAAACATGAAGATACGACCTTCCTGCCAAGCATCATTCTAGGTAGGTACTTGGGAGGCAAATATTATCACACTGAGCAAAACAAAGATCTTGTCCTCATGGAACTTATGTTCTAATAGGACATAGCAAACTAACATATTTAGAGTATGAAGAAGAGGGAATAACCAGAGAGGGCATCAGCATAAAAAAGGAAGCCTGTGCATTTGTTTATTCATTTACCAACCATTTATTGCATGTGTACTATGTGACAAGCCCCTGTTGGGAGGTGGGTAAACTGATGAACAACATAAAGTATAGCCCCTGCCATCTCAGAGCTTGTAGGCAGCAGTAGAAACTGGCAGTAAGCAAGTCAGCATGCAGCCAGATCATGACAGATGGTAAGAAATGATGCAGAAGGAACACTCAGTCATTAGGAGAAAAAATGACACTGGGGACCTCTCTTGTGAGATGAAGAATAGGGAAGCTGGTCTGTAAGGCAGCATGCTTTGGAAAAGAGGGAATGATAGCTGTACATACCAGAGGCAAGTGGCACAGTGACCTTGGGGGTGCAACGTGGCCTCTGGAAAATAAGATGCAGGAAGCCCAGACAGAGCACCTAATTATAAGGTGTGGCCAATTAAGAGAAAAATCAAACAGTACAGAAAATCTGCCAAGTATCACAATATGAACAAATAAGGAACAGGACTCAAGAAAAATGTGGGATTTGAGTGAGTGGACCTCTCAGCATTTGGAACCTTCTGATTCTGAAATGATAGCGTGGGCTTTCTACATCAGGAAGATTCATATACACTGCCTAAGAAACACAGAAATTAGAAAGCTAGAGACACTTAGCTACAACCTTTCTTAAGTATCTTTGATAAGTGGCCAGGGATGTAGCTCAGTGGTGCCACACCTACCTGGAAAGTGCATGGTCCTGAGTTAAATTCCCAGTATCAGAAAAAAAAAGAATATTTGGTAAGAAAAGAATCAGCATTGTCATAATTACATCGAGAACAAATAGTGTGAAATGAGCAGAGCTCATCGTGGTAGCAAACAGTATCAAACCAAAGTTTAATGTGCAAATCAGGAGCAATGGAACAAAGGACCACCTCTCTCTCACATGGACAAATCCACTGGCTTTGAACTGCAAAGAACTGTTTCCTTCAGTTTGTGAAAGGTGCAGTCATTATTTTATCAGGCAGCTTCTAGAACTTGAGGTAATCTTTAACTTTTTCTCATTTCTCCCAAGAAACTACATCTATATATTACAGGCAAACACTGCAGAATGACGTTTGATCGACAGTGGTCCACATATATGAGAGTGGATGCTAAGATTATAATGAAACTTAAGAATTTTTATCACCTAAATGTTCTGCAATTAAAAAAATTTTTATCACCTATCAGAGTGCCTTTTCCACATTTTAGTACACAAATACTTACCAACTGTGTGATAATTGCAGATAGTATTCTGTATAGTAATGTGATAGAGTTAAGCTAAATTGTCGACCCGATGAGGTTATGTCACTCAAGGAAAGTGACTGGATCGTGGGATGCTATACTCACAGGTGGATTAATCCACTGATGTTCATATCTGAATGTGCTGTTAGGAAGTGGGTCACCTGAAGTGAGCCTTTGAGCATGTCTCTCATTGGTGCTATTCTCCTGTTCTGCTTCCCAGTTTTCATGGAGCTTTGCTCCACTTCACCCCTCCGCCATGCTGTTTCTGCCTTGGAGCCAGCCAGCCATGGATTAAACACTGAAACCGCAAGCCCCAATACTGTAAACTTTTCCTCCTTTAAGATGTGGGTATCAAGTATTTTGCACCAGCAATAGGAAAAACTGACTGATACAAGTAACATGCTGTACAGATTTGGAGCCTAGGAGCAACAAGCTGTACCTTACAGCCCAAGTGTGCAGTAGGTTGTACCACTGAGGTGTGTGAATATACTATCACCTAATGAAATATTTCTTAGAATGTATCATCATTAAACAACACATGACTGCAGCCGGAGATTTAGCCCAGTGGTTCTGCCGCTTGCCTCGCAGGTGCAAGGACCTGAGTTCATTCCCCAGTACCAAAAAAAAAAAAAAAAATGACTATGTGCATGCAAGATTGTAAGGTAGGCTAAGTCACTTGCTCAAGGCCAAAGAGCAAGTAACTTATAAAGAGATTTTTACCCACACAGTCGGACTCCAGAGTGTAGGTGCATAACTAAGGCCGGGAGCTAAAAGGACTCTGAAGCAGCTGCCTCATAGAAAACAAGCAGGCAGCCACTCTTTTGGTGATAAAAAGGGGAAAGAAAACAAATGGTTAATCAAAGGAGCAAGCCAATGGCCTCCCTGAGTTAAGGAAGCAGAATGTGTAGGAAACTAGAATGAACTAGGATGAAACTAGAAGGAACTAAAATGAAACTCTAGTTATAGCACTGCTGTAACTGTGGAGTGGCCACCTCAGCTGTGTCTGGTTTTTTTCCTATAATAAATTTATATTTATTTTATCCTAGAAACTAAAAATTGGCCCATGTGTAATTTCCATCTTCTATGTGGCTAAGAATCCATGCTAGCCAGTGACACACGTGTATGTATGTGTATATATGTGTAATATATATATATATATATATACACACACACACACACACACATATATATATATATATATAAAATCCATCCCTAAATATATGTATCTGCATATTCATATACATCTATATAAAGATGGATGGAGAGAGAGAGAGAGAGGTATATCAATCCCTAAACTTATGTAAAAAATCAAAATTAGGATATAATTTCGAGCCTTACTATTAGTAAAAACCAGAAACATTTATTGAACTTTATTTATAGTTCTAAATGTTTAATTGATTAATTTTATAAATATTCCATAAAATGGGAATAGGTAAAGACTTAGGAGTTTTCCTCAGAATCACGGTTTGTTTCAATCTAGATATGTTAAATTCTTTGAGTGGCATCAGGAAATGGAACAAAAGCACAGGGGCTCAGAACTGCCGCCCAGCACCACCTCCTGGATTAGGTGACCAAGAATGTCTTCATTATGAGTTTGACATTGAGCAAACCCTTACACATACTACATATTCACAAAGCTTTGTTTCACAAATATGTGTAATTCACTTCATTTCATAATTATGAAATGATTACCATGATTACCAGTACCATGAAACAAAAAAAAGAAGAAGATATGAATGTGTGTGTGTGTGTGTGTGTGTGTGTGTGTGTGTGTGTGTGTGTGTGGTACTGGAGATTGAACCCAAGGCTTCACACTGAGCTACATTCTCAGCCCTTTTTTAATTTTTTATTTTGAGATAGGACCTCACTAAGTCATTAAGTTGTCCAGGCTGGGTTTGAATTTGCAATTCCTGCCTTAGCCTCCTGAGTGCTGGGATTGCAAGTGTGTGCCACAAGGCATGCCTGTCTTGAATATATGAATTACAGAAAGAGAAAATATAGTACTGAGGTTAAAAATGCAGGCTGCCTGGCAGAAACTATAATTTAGCCACTCAGTAGACTCACCTTGGGCAAGGAATTTCACTTGTCAGTGCTCAGTTTCCTCATCTGTAAAATGACTGCTGTACCCATCTACAATAATTTTAAAACATGGTCCCCAACATTTTGATACTTCATTCACTGAAAGGTGAAGTCTCCATCTTCTCCCCTGTTACACACATTGCTTTCCTTGCCCCGTAGAATTTGTTGGGGTTGATGCTTTGTCAGTTTCCTGCTCTCAGGCCTTAAGAAATTGACAATTTCCTCTTTCAGTATTTTGCAGCACTTGCTTTGGAACTCAGCCACTATGCTGAGGATGCCTTACCTGCCCTGTGGATACAGACCAACAGCAGGCACTAACTTGCCAACCAGTAACCAAGCCAGCTTAGAAGCAGATCCTATGGCCCATCTGCAGGGAGTAAAGATGAGTTATTTCTGATAAACTTGACCCAAATTGTTAATCCTTAAGCCAAATAAATAATTGTTGGCATTTTAAGCCACTAAGCTTTGAAGAAACACGTTACATAGCAATAGTAACCACAGACTACCTCATTGAATCAGTGTAAGG